AAGGGATTCTTTGTAAGATCGTGGCATGAGCGCGTCGAGCTAATCCTTCGTCCTCCTCAGGTGAAACTCGCTTTCGGCGACGAGATCCGTTTCCCACGGTACGCCAGGTAACCCAGGAGTGTTTTCCCCGTAATGTGGGTCTCTCCATGATACATCTCTCTCTCTCTTCCTCTAACTTAGCCCCTCCTCTCTTTCTTCACCCCTCTACCTTGCTCTTTTTCTTCCTCCATCCATCCATCCATCTCGACCGCTCTGTGCTCCACCACCTCGTCGTCCTCCTCTCGTTCCTTATCTATCCCTTTCTCGATTCGTTTGGCGCTTTACCGTGAAATCAACGAGCCTCTTCCTTTACGATTGGTCTCCCCGTAGTTGGTCTTCGCCGTGGTCGTCAACGGCGGCAGGTAGAAAGAATGAAAGGCACGCCGAGGAAGCACGACGATCGACGTTACGTCGTCGATGCATTCGCGGTGAATGGAATGTTAATGCGATCGCGGTGGATCGCTGCCTTCGATTCACATGTTATACTTGATTGAACGCAAGGTATAGCAACAACCATAAATGGAAATTTATGATTTTCGGTGAGCTCAACGAGTACCGAAAGTATATCAATCGTAAGATATTAATTCAGAATGAAGTTCTCCTTTTGCTGTAGTACAGCAAACTTTGTTTCGTGCAAAGTTTCAAGTTCGAAAATGGCGTGGATAACTCAGATAAGTAGGTTATTACTTTATCCTATATTTAAAAAAAAAAAAACATTTTTCTCATAGTGTAACAAATTTCCAATTTATATTCTAAAAGCTTCCCGAGTTTGTACCTCGTTATTGAACGATCGTAGAGACTGATTTCGAAAAATTGACAAAATGTGCGAAATGTCTACAGCTAGATCAATCAATCAAGTTACTTATTTTGTCCCCACCAAGTGCACGAGAAATAGATTAAAGAATGTTCTAAGCCGGCGAGATTTTGGTCGAAGGATCAGACTTCGTAAACTTTCGGCGCATTATACGTAACTGCTTTCTCTCCTCCTCTTTCTTTCTCTCCCTATAACGTTCCAACGATTCTTTGCCTGGGATAATAAAGACACGGCTTTCGTAAGATGTTGAACTTCACGTTAGAAGAAATATTTCTTCGAGCTTGGTCTCCGGCCAACGAGTATCCCCACCGATTTTAACGTTCGATCGAATGGCGAGAAACATTCGACGTAGATGGAATACACGGTGTGGTCTCTGTTGTTTGTAGTACGTGATTGGATATGAATAGATATATTGTAAAAACGAAAATCTTCATTGCTTAGAGAGTTAATTTTCGTTAAATTTATTGATTCAATTTCGTTGAATTATTCTAGAATTCAAAGATATGTTATCTGTCTACGACGAGCACTCGATTGGAACATTGGAATTTCAATTTCAATTTTTGCGAAAATTTGAAAAGTTTGCTCGAGTACAAATGTTCGTAAAAGTTATTCGAATCTCTTCTTTTTTTTTTTTTTTT